CAGAAACTTACACACCAATCTCAGTTCAAGATTTCGACAACGGTCAGACGATAAACGCAGCGCCGGAAGAACTTCACCTATTCGACGAAACAATGAATAGATTGAAGACTGAAGAAGTTAAGAATTGAGATAGTTCAAGGTCACTCTACGAAATTGAGGAGATGGCCTATCTTATCCAAAGCATTCCAGACTCCTCAATAAAAGAATGAGTCTGGAATACTTTGGAGGGGGTATCTGTAGGCGTCTAAAAATGCCTATAGGTGTCCGCACACAGCTTGAGACAGAGAGAAGACGATGAACATCGTTATCCGAGTCTAAGAGGATTATCTGACGCCGACAAGCGCCTGAAGCAAAACGGAGAATCAAGTGACCTGCGCGCTCGACAGTCAGCTCGCGCGCGCCAATCAGCTCGCATGCGTCAATCAACATGTGCGCGTTAATCAGTTCATGCGCGTCGATCAACACGCGCGTGACAATCAGTTCATGCACGTCGAAATCAACAAACCTGCGCGAGCGCATGACAGAACAAACCGACCTGCGCGAGCGCGGGACGGAACAAACCGACCCGCGCGAGCGCGAGACGGATCAACCCGACCCGCGCAAGCGCAGGTCAAACCAGTCTGCCGCGCAGTTTGGTACCCGAAACGCGTTTTGACGGTTTTAAAGTAGTTTTTCGTAGGATTCATCTGTTCCAGGGGTTCTTAACTGGCTTGAGATCATCCCCAAACGTGGTTGGGGATTCATCTGTTCCAGGGGTTCTTAACTGGCTTGAGATCATCCCCAAACGTGGTTGGGCTGTTGTCAACCGAAGATAGAGCCAAATCACTTGTTCTCATCCAAATAACCGCATCCGAGGCCTATAAATATGAACCTAGGGCCTCCTTTCAGCGGAGTGATTATCAAGAGGACGAAGTGTTGCTGGATTGATGAGTCAAAGGAGCATGAATTTCAGCGAGGATTGACAGATCTTGGCGAGTTCTTCAGCATAAAGAAGGAGAGTTCGAGAGATCCGAAGCCTGTTTCCTCTGTTCCTTGAGATCAGGCTTGGTCTTGATCTCGAGAAGAGCCCTGATTTCGCTTGGTCGATCTCAGCGCTTCAAATCAAATACTTCCTCGGCGAAGGCGAAGCTCTGCCGAATTTTCCATCAACCGGATCCAGATCTAAGGCGGTCCACGGATAAACCCCGGTACAGGCAAAGATCCCACGCAAGCAGAAGATCGATAAACGATCTCTGCGTTTGTTTTGACGAGAGTTGTAACTTTTTATTTTCATTGTGTAAAAGTCTTATAAAAAGACAATCTTTTTGTTTTTATTGTAACGACTAAAGTTGTAATGAATACCGTAATGAAAATAGCAACTTTCGACGCAAACAACTCTCATATTCTCTCAAAAGCCATCTCCTTATAATCTTTTGAACGGACAAGAATTGTGAAACCTTCTCCCAAAGATTATGAAACCATCGCCTCTCAACAATATTATTGAATTGGGCTACGCACTCTACTAACCCTAGATTATAAGAATATTGGCGCTCTCCTCTCCTTGGTTTTTCCTCTAACAATAGAAAACAATATATAGAGAAAACCAAAACTAAATATGTTATAGCCATTTTAGTGATGAAAAATATTCTCCAATCAATGACGGACAAGTGTCTCACATTACGTGTAATCGAGTCAGCGCTTCAAGGTAACCAAAGGCCCAATACAGTCGACTCGACATGCTGACATCTGGTGAGAACGACTCAAAAGGTGTTACATGTTGATGACTCGAAAGGCGTTATGTGCCAACGACTCAAAAGGCATTTCGTATCGATCCTTAGCTAAGTCGACTACTTAATCACTCCACTCAACTGACTAATCGACCGACACCTTGCGAAGGCGACTCAAAAGGTGGTACTTCTCGACCGCAGGACGAGTAGAAAGGCGACAAAATGCCTCAAACTTTGAGCCCCCTCCCATGCACTGGCGACCAATCACCTCACAATAAATGACATTAAATGCACTATGGGTGACATTATTCCTCTGCCCCCAATAGTCTTTATGATACATTGGACCGTATCGGCACCGCACACCCCCAATCATTTTACATTAAATACCGAAGTGACCTTGTGTGAGAGTAAAATTGATTCCCGAAAAGAGGAGATTTGTATTAGTAAGAATGGCTTATTACAAATTAAGAAATCAAATTACAACAGAAGTGAAGAGAATGCTCTTCTTGTTTAACGTGGGGTCTTTGGTAGCGATAGAACCCCTCACTCGAATGCTTACGTCGAGTTTGCTTCCCTTCGACGATCTAATCGAAATTATGGTTGAGCTTCAGTATGCAGTAGAAGCTCTTATGTGATTGAGTTCGATTACCCGAGCTTGATGAGTATCAAGACCGAATGCTTAGAAAAAGCTAATATGCAAGAGTTTGCAAAGAGCCAAGAGTCTCAAATCCAAGAGTTCAGATTGAGTCCACTTCAACAATCCAAGCTTTTGTTTAGGAATGTCCAACCAAGCTCTCAAGATGCCTAGCCACTCAAGCCCACCAAGCCAGCAGCAAAAAGGCCTCTGATTGAAGAGTCTTAGAAATGCCAAGCTTCCAAACCTCTCCCAAAAGTCTCTAAAGTCCTCTTTTTTTAAAATCTCCTTTTCATGTTGCCAAAGGTGGATTATAAATAAGCAATGAAAGGTATGGTCAATCCCTTGATTTGTGGGATGTGACCACTTAGGGGTAAGGAGCACCATACCCTCCCCTATAGCTGTGGGATGTAACCACTATAGGTATGTGTAGGTAATAAAAATTGCCTTTAAATCCTTATCAGAGAAGTTCAGAACAAAACTGCTAAAACCTCGCCCGAAATAGCAAAAAGGGGGAAAACACTGATAAAAAGGGAAAAACGCAGATATCTCCCAAACCGTAAGGAATTTGGCGAAACGGGGGAAGCGAACCGAAGCCTTCAGCTCAGTTTGGATGGCTCCATCTCGTCGAGATAGGCGATTTTCATATATAATTCGTCCAATTCCGACTTACGGTTTGAAAGTTACGGCCTATTCTTCGATCCATGCTCAGGAGCTCGCCTGCAGCTCGAATTTCGCCTGCACGATCAAGACCCAAGTCTGCCTGCACACCTGAACTCGCCTGCAGACCCCGCTCGCCTGCAAGCTCGCCTGCAGACCCAAGTCTGCCTGCAGTCCTAAGCTCGCCTGCAGACCCAGTTCTCCTGCAAGCTCGCCTGCAGACCCAGTTCTCCTGCAAGCTCGCCTGCAGACCCAAGTCTGCCTGCAGTCCTAAGCTCGCCTGCAGACCCAAGCTGCAGACTCGCCAGCTCACTGTCAACTGCCCACTTGGAGTATGGGAACAGTTACATCAGTGGTCAAATCCCACAAATCAAGGGAGAAAGCATGACGCTCCTCACCTAGCAAGAATAGGGCGGCTGACAGGACCCCCTAAGTGGTCACATCCCACAGCTAGGGCGGCTGGCTCCCTCACCTCCATCAGTGGTCAAATTTCACAAATCAAGGGAGAAAGCATGACGCTCCTCACCTAGCAAGAATAGGGCGGCTGACATGACCCCCTAAGTGGTCACATCCCACAGCTAGGGCGGCTGACAGGACCCCCTAAGTGGTCACATCCCACAGCTAGGACGGCTGGCTCCCTCACCTCTATTAGTGGTCAAATCCCACGAATCAAGGGATGGCTCATGCCATCCCTTACCTATTAAAACCCATCTTCAGCCAGCATGAAGGAGGGGATTGGCTGTTGCATATTCTGCTGGCTAATCTTCCCAAAGGTTGAACCTGGACCTTTACCAAAGGCTCCCTCATTTGAGAACTGAAGCTCCAGCAGCAACTTCGATCGGATCGTCCAAGGGAAGCAGACTCGACACGAGCACCGAGCGAGGCGTCCTATCGCCACCGAGGAACCCACGTTAAACAAGGAGGGCATTCTCTTAGCTTCTGTTGTAAACATTTGATTATTAGTTTGTAATAAGCCGTTCTTATCAATACAAACAAAGTTCCCTATTTTCGGGAGATCAAAATTTACACCTACAGTATGAGAGTCATGCTTCATCACTCAGGATGTGAGATGTGGGTAGGCCCACTCCCACAGGCAAGCGACCGCTTACACTGCTCAGTCGAGGCTGGTAGGCTTACAAGTAAGCTTGAGTTGTGTCTGAACACTCAGGCAAGCTTGCAGGCGAGCTTGGCGAACAGGCGGGGCCGGCTGGCGGGCCCCTCAAGCGTTAGGTGAGCTTGAGTCTGTAGGCGAGCTTGGTTCTGGCAAACTCCCTACAGGTGAGCTTGACTCGTGCAAGAGAGCGTAGCTTTCAGACGAGCTCGACTCGTGCGGGCAAGTCGAGAAATCAAGCGAGCTTGACTCGTGTTCTGGCGAGTCAAGTGAACAGGCAGGGCTAAACTCGTGCAAGCGGGCTCAACAATCAGGCGAGCTTGACTCGTGCTGGCGAGTCAAGCAATGTTGGTGAACTTTGGTTCGTGCAGGCGAGCCAAGTGTTGATGAGTCAAATTAAGCAAACAGACGAGCTTTGCTTGGCCTCCTCAATGCATGCGAGCTTTGTTTGCTTTGTGATTAAGTTGCATAAAAATAATAAAAAACATTCAATGAAACACGGGTAACAGACTTTTCTTGGTCCCTGGTCACTGATGCTAACGTTGGCTTGCCTATTCAAAATCGAAAACAGTGCTGCAAAGGTGCGGACGAAATTCGGAGCTACCTCCAACAATAAAAGATGCCACCCACCTCAAATAATCCAATCAAGGCCGTTCAAAAAAGTTCACCAAAAAGAAACGAAAGCAACCTTTCAATCAAAATATTCCCCTCACCTCTCAATTCTACACGCACCATCCAATTTTAATAGGGAGAGAGTATATTTGTGGATATGATTCGTTTGTATTAAAGCCTGAATTGGTAGATTAGGAAATTAGTTGTTTATTGATTCAATCGACAATGCTTATGCATCAATAATGCAATGAACCAATACCGCTAAATATTTTCTCACAATTTCAACCCCTAAATTCTCCTCCACTTGCTATAAATCCAAAACCAAACCTAACCAAAAAGCCAACAAAAAAACCACAAACAAAATGGATGAAAAATCAGAAAAATGGCAAGGCCTAATCTCAACAAAGCTCAACTCAATCCAACCAGACGAAGCTTGGTCTACACTCGGAGACTTCTTCAACCTCCACAAGTTTCTTCCCTCACTTGCAACGTGTCATAAGGTCGAGGGCTCCGATAACGTCCGATATTGTGCCAGTGAACCGGACCAAACCGGTACGGTTTATTGGGTTAAGGAGAAGTTGGTTGAATTTAATCCCATAAAGAGGAGTTATAGTTATGAGATTATAGAGAGTAATATGGGATTTGGGAGTTATTTAGCAGAGTTGAGGGTTGTTGAGTGTGATGATGGTGGGTGTAAGATTGAGTTGGGGTTTGAGTGTGAACCAATTTTGGGTTGGACCCGGTCTGGTTTTGTTGAGTATATGGAGGGTGGGGTTAAGGGGATGGCGAAGGGAGTTGAAGACGCTTTGTGTGCTAATGATGGTAATTTGTGAGATTTTTAGTTAGATTTGTTTGTTTAAGTATTACTGTTCATGTTATTAATGATGATTGGATTTTAGTTAAAGCTAGGTCTTGTTGCTTCTTGTTTTTGTTTGGCTAACCAAGCAAAAACGTGTTTGTAATTTGTATACCGTATCTTTTTCTCTTCTTTGTTTTTGAAGATTAAATGATGATTGCTACTAGATCTTTTATAACAAGTGTCTCTACTAATTTTTGTTATAAGAATATCTAACAGGTTGTGTATGAGCAATTAAGTATGTTGGACATTCATGTGCGAGTATAGTACCACATCAAATAAAATTAAAAAGAGTTATATGTTTAAAATAAGAGTTGGGGTTAATAACTAATATCTATATATATGTTTTGGATAAAAAGTTGGTTCTTAAGCTTAAGGTGAAGACCCAAAGGCATGGGAGAATGAATGAATAGGAGATTGTTGGATATTCATGTACGAATAGTAGTGGGGGTCAATACTTAAAAGGTATGGTTTTGGGGTTAAATATGATTCATAGCTCTGTTTAAAGCCCATTGCCACTAGATTGGGTTTGATTATCCCCCAATAAAGCATAATTATACATAACATGACGTATGCATGAGCCTTGGAGCTTATTTGGCAGCCTCTCATAATGAGTTCTAGATTAATCGTGGTCCCCCTTTTATGTAAAATATTTTCTAGGAAAAACTATATCAATATTGGTCTAGTTTTTCTTACGTCAAAAAAAAACAGTACTTTAATTTAGTATATTGCACAAGATGATTCATCTTCAACGTGCTCAGTTTTTATTTGGATTTATTCAAGATTAGTCCCTTAAATCTTTCATGTTTCGAAATTACTCTCTGAATCATTGGAATTACTATCAGGTATCTCAATTCTTAAGTTATTTTAGAATTAGTCTGTCGAATCATCGAATTTGCTATATTTTCCCTAATTTTGAAGTTATCATGATATTATTACTTCTAGTCAAAAGTGAAAGCAACAACTAGAGGGATTGATTAGGAACAACTCATGATGGGGGAACTAATATCAATTCTAATAATTTGATGAGGAATTTACTTCAAAGTAACTTTAGAATTGAGTGACATAATAGCAATTTCAATTATATGAGGGATTAATTTTAAAAAGTAAAAGATTTAAGGGAAAAATCACTTTAATATATCTGTAAATGCTACACTGATACTGCTACAGTAAACGCTACTGTTTCATTTACTGTAGTATGAATAGTGCATCTTGGGTTCTCTCATTTGTATAAAGGAATAGATTTGCATTGTCTACGTGAAACCTACACCCTATCCTACTTCCATATTAGTTTTTTTTAAATGCAAAACCCAGTATCCCAACTCGACCATGCAACCAAATGGGCACTGGTATAATTATTTGAGTCCTCTCACTTATCTAGAAAAAGGTGACAATTTTTTCATTTAAAACTTCAATTATTTACTGAATGATTATGATTAGTTCCAAATCTATTCATTTCATAATCTCCCATATTTCACACTTATCCTTACTTTTCGCTCAAAATGAATCATGATCATCCTTACTTTCAAATCTATTTATTTCATGATCTCTATGGTAGATTTTTAGTAGTGAAGTGTATCGAAATCCTCAAGTGTGTTTAGTACTCAGAAAGTAGGTAGTTCCCCTCCTTTTTCCCTTTTTCATATATAATTGGAAAATAAATTTCGGTGCATCAACATTTTAACTATTTTCATTTTCTCTAAATCTTTAGAACCGGCTTGGTTGAGTACTTGGATGTTGTGGTCAAGGAGATGGCTAATGTGCTGGAGATCGATGCTTTGTCTATGAGCAAGCAAAACTCTATTATTGTTTATTATTTCCGTGTGTTTGTGTGCGTGTGTGCGTGTTTTTTATTTTATTTTATTTTATTTTATTTTTATTATTTTTGTCTTTTTCTTTTTTCCCTTTAGTTTGTAATAGAGAACGTGAATTTGAATCTGATGATTGTCACTATCAAATATCATTATGTCCCTTCCTTTTGTCTGTGTCTATAAGAACTTGATCACGTCCATCAATTTTATTTCCCGGTTTTGCTGTTTGGCTCGCGGCCGCCCAACTCGCGGGCGGCTCGCAAGAGCTGGAACAGGGGGGTGGCCCCCCCTGTGGGAC